GGTGCAAATGTTTCGTTGAAGTCTATTCCTTCTTGTTGGTTATAACCTTTGACAACAAGCCTAGCTTTGTTCCTTGTGATTTGACCATGTTCATCGAGCTTGTTCTTGAATACCCACTTGAGACCTATCACAGTCTTGTTCTTGGGTCTCGGTTCTAGATGCCACACCTTATTTCTTTCAAACTGATTTAGTTCTTCCTGCATGGCTAGAACCCAGTCAGTGTCGGAGAGAGCCACTTCATGGTTCTCCGGTTCTATAAGAGATAAATAAGCAGAGAAAGCACAAAAGTTTTTAAGTTTAGATCTAGTTGTTACTCCCTGATTTAGATCGGTGAGGAGATTATCCAGCGGATGTGATCTATGAAGCTTCCAACCCCTAGGAGCGTTGGGTTGGTCCACCAAGTTGTTGAGAGTATCTGAAACTGGTTCTACCGGTTCTACAGGTCCAGTGTCAGTGTTCTGTCCAGGTTCTTCTTCAGTTCCAGATTGTTCATTTTCATTTGTTAGAGGTGGTTCACCAGTTTGATTGTCAGTTTCTTCATCTCCTTGAGATTGTGATTTCTTGCGAGTGATCCCTAGCTCACCATCATCGGCTTGGATTGATTTTGGGGCAAGTGCTTCATCAAAGATTACATGAATGCTTTCCTCCACACATTGTGTGCGTTTGTTTAGAACTTTGTAGGCCTTGCTATGTGGGGAATATCCTAGAAAGATTGCCTCGTCACTTCTAGCATCAAACTTGCCGATGTTGTCTTTCCCATTGTTGTGGACGAAACATTTGCACCCAAAAGTTCTTAGATGACTTATGTTGGGCTTCCTCCCCTTGAGCAGTTCGTAGGGTGTTTTCCCTAGGAGTGGATGTATCATGGCTCGATTAATGATGTAGCATGCTGTGTTTAGAGCCTCTGCCCAAAAACTCCTAGCTAGACCGCTGGAAATAAGCATAGTTCTAGTCATGTCCTCCAGAGTTCTATTCTTCCGTTCTACCACTCCGTTCTGTTGTGGAGTTCTAGGTGCGGAAAAGTTGTGGTCTATCCCTCGTTCTTTGCAGAAGGCATCGAAGAGAGAATTGTCAAACTCAGTTCCATGATCCGATCGGATCTTGATTAGTCGTAGACCTGTTTGATGCTCAATTTTCCTTACAAAAATAGCAAACTCATTAAAAGTATCTTTCTTGCTAGCAAGAAAGATAGTCCATGTAAATCTTGAAAAGTCATCAACAATAACCAGAACATATTCTTTGTTTCCTCGGCTACGGACTGACATTGGACCACACAAATCCATGTGTATTAGTTCTATGGGCTTGCTTGTGCTCACCAAATTCTTTGTTTTAAAAGATGATCGAGATTGTTTTCCGGTGGCACAAGCCGAGCAAACATGGTCAAGTGAAAATTTCATATTGGGCAGTCCAATAACTAAATCATTATTTTTAAGTTTATTTATTAATGAAAAACTAGCGTGTCCAAGCCTTTTATGCCATAGCAAAGGATCGTTATCAATAACGCTCAAACAAGTCATACTAATATTAGGCAATGAATCAAGATCTACTTTATATGTATTTTCGAGCCTCTTGCCTTCAAGTATAACTTGTTGTGATTCGTTATTAACAATGCGACAAACGTTATGATAAAAAACAACACTATTACCTCGATCGCAAAATTGAGAAATACTTAGTAAGTTAAATTTCAAACCCTTGACTAAAAATACATTATCGATAGCATGGCTAGGTGACTTTCCAACTTTGCCCACGGCTATGATCTCTCCTTTGCCGTTGTCTCCAAATGTCACCTTTCCACCGTTAAATGGCCGTAGTGAGAGGAATAAAGATTTGTCTCCCGTCATGTGCTTAGAACAACCACTGTCAAGGAACCAGTGATTGTTCCCCCTCACTCGGCGCTGTTCCAGGATTAAGGGTTAGCGCGTGGAACCCAGACTTGCTTGGGTTCCATTTTGTAATTGTTTGAGGAATATCTAACATGATCATAACATCTTTCTAAAGTCTTTTGCCGAGAGTGACATTGATACCGTAGATGACCGATTTTGCCACAATGCATGCAAACCCGGTTGTCATAAGTGTCAACGTATTTAGGTTTCCATTTACCATAAAAGCCTCTTGTTCTTTTATGAAAAGTTCGGTTAGGCGTTTGTCCATAACCGTTTTTGTGCCTTTGAACCAGTCTATCGAACCAGTTTGGTCCAGTTCTAGGTGGCTGTTGATATGGTCTAGAACTGGGTTGTCCTCGGGTTCTATTGCCCTTAAAGGGTTGGTTCTGAAAATTTGATTTTTGATTAGATCGAATATCCCTTGGAATATATCCGAGACCTGCAGTCTCGTTTACTTTCTTATTGTGCTGAGAAGGACCAGTTCCAGAATGATGTCTAGACCTGGTTTTGTTCGTTGCACTATAGGATTGATATTCCGGTCTATTTTTAAAATCAGTGCACTCGGCAACAAGACGATGAAGATGATCAATTAAAGTACCAACGCTCGGAATTTTTGAAAGAAGTTTTTCATCATGATTAACTTGTTTGTTCATACTATCGAGCTTAAGAGAGCAAATGATTTGATCTTGTTCTAAAACCACTTCACTATACTTAAGCCTTTCATCTATTAACTCTCCCACTTTTGTTTCAAGCCTTATCTTGGCTTTCGTGGCTTCCTCGAGTTTAGACTCAAGCTCAGTGATTTGTGATTTAAGATGATCATTTTCAGAAAGGTTTTGATTAAGCTCAATAGTCAATCTTTTGAAAATTTTCCGAGCTTTGGTTTTGGATAGAGAGTCAAACTTAGATAGAAAATTTTCAAGGTTTACCTCAAAGCTCTCTTGGTCGGATTCCTCGTCAGAATGAGCCATAAGGCATAGACCCGCATGGTTGGTGTTCTTATCATTTTCCTCTTCTTCATCATCAGAAGAATCTCCCCATGCTGCCATCATGGCCTTTTTGAGATCTCTCTTGAACCCTTTGTCTTCGCTGAACCTCCGGTTGGAACTGGACTTGTTCTTGTCGCAGTTCCGGTCATTTTTCTTTTGTGAACAGTCTTTAGCCCTGTGCTCAAAGGAACCACAAACAAAACAACCTTGGTTATTAAAGGATTGAGTATTCCTTTTACCTTGTTTGGTACGGTTGTTCTTGAATTTTCGGTACATCCTCCCAAATTGTTTTGCAAACATGCTCATCTCATCATCCGATTCACTCTCGGATTCCTCTTCTTCTTCTCGAGCCTTTAGAGCTATTCCTCTTTCTCGTCTAGCACTCTCGGCATCATGTTCTTCTTGAAGACCTAGTTCATATGTCAAGAGTGATCCAGTCAAGTCTTCAAGCGTCATGGTGGATAGATCCTTTGCTTCTTCAATAGCCGTGGTCTTAGGCTTCCACTCTTGGGGCAGGCTTCTCAAAATCTTTCTCACTTGATCTTCCACGGTAATTTCTCTTCCAAGGGCTGAAAGCTCATTGATAATGTTAGTAAAGCGTGTAATCATATCCTTAATTGACTCTTTTGGCTTCATTACGAATAATTCGTAATTACGCATGAATATGTCAATCTTAGATTTTTTTACACGTGAGGTTCCCTCATGAGTGACCTCGAGCAAATCCCACATTTGTTTTGCAGTCTTGCACCCTAGAACCCGATTGTGTTCGGCAGGACCAAGACCACAAATTAAATATTTAAGGGCTTGGGCATTATGCTCGAGTTTCTCATAATCTTCAGAAGTATATTCAACTTTAGGTTTAGGAACAACATTACCTTCGGCGTTTCTCTTTGTGATGACATTATCACCACTTTCAATTACATTCCAAACCTGGTAGTTATCGGCCTTGATAAAGTTTTCCATCCGACTCTTCCAAAATTGATAGTATTTGCCATTGAACAATGGTGGTCGTTGAGTCGAGTACCCTTCTTCCAATCGGTCAACCGTATTCATTTTGCCGGATCTCTTCCCAAGGTATTAGCCTTTATGTGGTGAAGACCGGTTCTGATACCAATTGATGAAAACGGTTAGCAACACAAGAGGGGGGTGAATTGTGTGTGTGTGGAACCGTGGCAGTTTTTTGCCGAGTTCTAGTGTGGGATAAAGGGAATTGCAAAATAGTAAAGTGCACAAGAATTTAACGAGGAAAAATCCCTTGGCTCAAAGGGATTAAAAAACCTCGACCTCCCTCGGAGGAATTTTAAACAACTTCACTAAACAAGCCTTTGAAAGAGTTACAAGAGTGATTCTCCTAATCTACCCTTGAGCCTCCCCAACTCTATCCTCTCTAGGAAGAGTTATGCATCTCTACCTTGCGGGTAGAGAGCCTCTCAGCTTTATCACAAAGCTCTCACACACACTTAACCCGAGGCAGCTACTCTAGCCAATTAAGCCTCAATATTCCAAGTACAATATGAAAGGGAAAAGAGAACTCTATCTAGAACTCCGTGTGGGCAGTTTCTGGCGCCTTGAACTTGGTATTTCTCTTGAGTGTTTCTCTTGATATTTTCTCGGTCAAGCTCGCCCTATTTGCCTTTGGCTGCTTTGTTTATATAGGCTGTCTTGGCAGACCGTTTTAGCATCCTTCCTTGAATAGTTGATCTTCTAATTTTGGGACTTGCCTTGATATTTTGAATTGCTTTCCTTTCATAATATTTCCCATATCCGAGCTCAATATATAAGGCAGTCAAATTAAAATATCCAACATTTAATATTCATATATTCAAGGTAGCAACATAGTCACGAATTGCCCATTCAAATCACGTGTAAGTATTTTGAATTAATTATCAAAGAGAGCAAGCTTTGGTCAACTTTCAAAAAGGTAGGAAATCATTCCATATGAGAAAGGATGCAACGGCCAGAACATATATATTTCTAACAAGTCATGCACTAAAAATATATTCTTGCCTTATTATAATAATCTTGATTAAGCAAGTGGTCTTTTTGAATTGGGCTCACCTAAAGAAAGTATATTAGCTAGTAACCAAATAAATCATGCACCCAAATACGAAGGATAATTAAGTAGGTGCAAATATATTAATTCAAGCCACTATCTTTATATTACAAGCAAGTCAAGATTACTTTCCATAAAGTAAAAAGCACAATTACTTTTTATAAAGTTAAAAGCACAATTACTTAAGTGGGTGTCAATTTGGTCATGCATGAAAAGCTATATTACGTACACACATATTAATCCAAGAGTGCACCAATTAAATCACAAATTATATCACGTAAGCACATGAACTAGTTTTGTCCTTTGTCGCTTAAGGAACTGTGAGCGGTTCTGTCCGCCGTTCCACCTGTATGGTTAGTCATCAACAAAACAACATATTCAACAATAATAAATGTAATATTCTGTATTTAATAGAGGAAATAAAATGCATGTTCACGGTTCATTCACTTTTTGGGGAAATTGAAAACAAAGTCACATTTGTGTCTTTCATGGGTAAATTGGAATGTGCAGCTCAATCAATGCTCTTGCTGTTGCAATTTTGGATTCACTCCCACGGATTTGAGCGTCTCCGCTTTGGGTTCCCTGCAAAACAATGCTGGCCGGGTTAGGGGAGTATTTGGAAAATTTTTGAAAAAGTGCATTCCTACTTTTGATTAAGAAAAACTGAAATAACCATTTAAAACCCAAAGACCGGAAGTACTTCAAACAGCATTTCAGCTTTTGAATGGTGCTTCAAAAGCATTTCACTTTATCCATTACAGAAATACTATGTGTAACATTTACTTTATCAAAAAATAAAACTTTCACTTTGTGATAAGCACTAGATCTTTTCTCTAAAATCATTTTTTTAAATCATATTTTTAAAATAAAAGCAATCGCAAAACTTCCTAAGTGCTTTGTATTATACTCCTATCGGCCCTTTTAATATTACAAAGTAAAAATAATGTAAAATTTAAAAAATAAAAGTTACACTTTTCCTCTTAAACTAGTACATGTCTACCATCATGCTCATATAAAATTAACATCTCTCATAAATGACATCGAATTGAGTTTTCATCCAAGCAGTATTATATTAATTCAGCTAGCTCGATCCTGTTTGATAATTTCTCGTATGCAATTTAATTCTTATGTGCAGTGTATAAAAAAAGCGATCGAGCAGGATACCTTACCTAGCAAGGACATCTCCTCTTATGGGATCAGGAATGGTTTGTTGAGCAGCATCAAAGTGGTGCTGGACATGAGCAACCTTCCGAAAGAAGGATTTCTTGATGAAGTTGTGGGCATCATCCACCACTCGGTCCGGCTCCACCACCTCCGGCACCGTCTCCCTCCTCGACTTCTTCAAATGCACGTTGGGCGACCGGCTCAACTGGTGACGGGCAGTGTGGATCCCGAACCCTGCCGCTAACGCTATCATCCTCACGGCCACGTACACCGGGAAAAACTCCCCGGACGGCGGCAATGCTCCTCCTCCATAAGGGCGAGTTCCTAAAGCTAATTTCCAGAAAGCCTTTTGTGCATTGAAAGGCATTCTTCCACCGGCCTCTTCTTCGATTTTTTTTGTTTTTTGGATTGAAAGAAAGAAAACTAATTAAATATTGGAATGGTTGCGTTTATGTATGAGAAATGGAGGATATATATGGACGGCAAAATGAATTACGATTATATAGAGATATATGGAGTTAAGAAGGGGCGGGACACGAAGACAATCGCCATGCAAAGCACTAGACACTAGTCCAAACCTCAAGACGCCACTTGTCACCACTTTAATAATCCTAATGGTCTGCATCAATTTCATATCGACTAGGGGTGGGTTCGGTTCTTGCGCTTCGGTTTTGACCTAAACCAAATATAGAATCAAAGTAAAAAGTTCGGTTTGTTTTCGGTTCGATTTTACACTCCAAAACTTGGAATCACGGGTTGATTGGTTCGGTTTGTTTTGATTCGGTTTCGGTTTTTTCGGATTTTTACCAAAAAATTATCATTTGATTTAAATTGATATAATACATTGAGGGATCAAACATATTACATAGAAGGTGCAAGCACACTACACCAAATAAAATAATAATGAAAATAAATAATTATGCCTTGAATTATATGAATATGCGAGAAAGATAAAAGTATATGAAGAGTACTTGATGGTGTGAATTTCCTATCATGTATGTTTGTATTTTTAACTAGTTTTATTAGTTCTAGTTGTGGAAATTACACACTTTTGGTGTAATACTTTATTTTCATTAATTATTTGTAATTTATTTAGATTAGGATTATTCTGAGCTTAGGACAAGTCAAAATCATCCCAAGAATCAAAGGATGGATCCTAAAGACCAAAGAATGCATGTGCAAAAGGGAGAAGAACAAATGAAGATTTTGATATTTGTTCAATACTCGGTTGAGTATTGCAATTACTCGGTCGAGTATTGGTCAGATACACTGGTCAAAATCAGATCTGGGAGCAAAAGAACGTGGCTAAATATTTGTTGAAAATCCTGTCATACTCGGTCGAGTATTGGCAATACTCGGTCGAGTATGCCTTATTTTTCACAATTTCCTGGAAATTTCCTCTCATACTTGGTCCAGTATCCCCAATACTGGATCGAGTACAGAACCCTGCCACCTCCATTTTGCTATAAATACACCCCATTTCCTTCACATTAAAACCATTCCTTCTTCCATACTCTTATGCTCAGTTTAGAATAGTATTTCTTTTATATTTTTATAGCATGTTTAGTCTTCAAATGAGGAGCTAAACTTCCATTTCTTGGTGTTGCTCTTGAAGCTTGTTGATTATTAATGTTGTGAGTTATTTTCTTAACTTCTTCCCTTGAATATTAATTCTTCCCTTAATCTATCTATATATTAATGTTGGGGAGTGTTGCTAAGATGACAATTAGTTAACATCTCGACATTAGTTATAGTAGTATTTATTTTCTTCCTCTATATATTAATGTTGGGGGGTGTTGCTAAGATGACAATTAGTTAACATCTTGACATTAGTTATAGTAGGATTTATCATCTTTAATATTCTTCCTTGAATATTAATTAATTCCTATTCATATTTCTTATTAATATTTTGAACATTACTTAAATGATCAACTAGTTTTGTTTCATATATTAATTGTTACTAGAATCGATCGACGAATACGCTTGTTAATCGTTGATGGTTTCACAAGTAAGTAATTTCGGTTTATTAATGCACGGTCGTGGTTAATAAACTTAAGATGGGTTAATTTTGTTGGTTAAACCGAAACCGTTGTGTTGAGGTTATCAATCTCAATTGATTTCATCAAGGAGTTAAGAGATTAAATGCTACTATCAAGTCGGTATATGGCGGTGTTCTATACTTGACTAATAGTAAGGGTTATTAATGAATGGTCGTTGTTAATAACCACCCTCGATGAATTGGATATACTCCTCGATTGAGTATTCGAGAGGGGTTAAGTTATAGATATAACAATGATCGACTAAAATATATCAACAAGTGGAAAGTAGCAATGCTAAGTCCTTTTTATCTTTGAATTAAATCTCATAAGTCGTTCATCTTCGTATTTAATTAAATTAAATCACTCAAGCCCAAAACCCCCCTTATTTACTAGTTTTACTAAAAAGAGAATTTTTCCTTTCCCTGTGGATACGAACTCTACTTTACCTATACTACGTATAAGTGCTAGTATCAAATATTATTTTGACGCACCGTGATAAAGTGCTCGTCAGTACTGAAGAGGAGAAGAAGTCAGATTGGTATCTTGATAGAGGAGCAAACAACCATATGTCAGGTGATAAGTCTCACTTTACTAAAATGGATGAATCAGTACAAGGTAGAGTGAAATTTGGAGATGGTTCAATGATAAGTTTTGATGGGCAAGGATCTGTAATGTTCCAATGCAGTAAAGGTGAGCATGTGGTATTGTCAAATGTAATTACATTCCAAGGCTGAAAAGTAATATTATAAGCATTGGGCAACTTGATGAGAATGACAGTCAGGTAACAATCAAAGGGGGTGAACTGAGAATTCATGATAATGCTAATAGACTACTTATGAGGTGCAGAGGCAACCAAACAAGCTTTTTATAGCGAAATTGAAGATAACAGAAAGGGTATGTCTGTTGACAAGCTTAACTGACAAATCCTAGCTGTGGCATGCTAGATTTGGCCATTTAAACTTTCAAGCGCTTAAGAAGTTGGCTAGTCGCAGGATGGTTGATGGAATGCCAGAAATATCTCAGGTGAATCAAATATGTGATGGATGTCTAGTGGGAAAACAACACAAAACATCATATCCACAGAAGACACAATTCAGAGCAAAGGAGAAGCTTCAACTAGTGCATGGAGATCTCTGTGGGCCTATCTCACCATCTACTCCTGGAGGTAATAGTTATTTCATGCTCCTTGTTGATGCCTATTCAAGGTTTATGTGGGTATCCTTGATAAAACTTAAAGGGGATGCTCTTGAGTCTTTCAAAAGATTCAAGCATTTGGCTGAAAATGAAATGGGGAGAAAACTGAAGTGCTTCAGAAAAGACAGAGGAGGGGAATTCACATAAAATGAATTCAAGAAATTCTGTGATGATGAAGGCATAAAAAGGCACCTAACTGCACCCTACTCACCCCAACAAAATGGGGTGATAGAAATTAAAGAAGAAACCAAACTATTGTTGCAATGGCTAGAAGTCTGCTGAAAAACAAATATATGCCAGCATGTTACTGGGGTGAAGCAGTTAAAACTTCAGTTTATTTGTTGAATAGGGCACCAACAAAGAGTGTGGAGGGTATGACTCCCTATCAAGCTTGGTATGAGAAAACACCAAATGTACAACATCTACGTGTATTTGGATGTTTAGCTCATGTCAAAATTGTGTTTCCCCATCTCACAAAATTGGCAGATAGATGTATAAAGGCAGTATTGTTTGGGTATGAAGAAAGGTCAAAGGCGTACAGGTTATTTGACCCAATCAAAAGAAAGCTTTTGGTCAGTAGAGATGTTGTATTTGAAGAGGACAAAGGATGGAAATGGGAGGCTGAACAAGACAGAGAGGAAGAAAACTCCAAAAACACCTTCACAGTCATAGTAAGAGAAGGGAGATGGGATAAAAATCAGTCAGAAGACTTGTCACATTACCAGGAACAAGATTCAGATATCTCACCACCATCAACACCACATGAGTCTCCTACAACCTCCTCTAGCTCAAGTTCAAGTTCAGGACCCCTAAACTTCAGATCTTTATAAGAAATTTATGATGCTACAACAGAAGTAAGTGAAGAAGTGGGGCTATGTTTTCTGACACTGGAAGAACCATCAACATATTCAGAAGCTGTAGGTAATGAAAAATGGAGAGAAGCAATGGCCTTAGAGATTGATTCCATATAGAAGAATGGAACTTGGGAGTTGACTGATTTACCAAGGAATCATAAGGCAATAGGGCTAAAGTGGATCTTTAAATTGAAAAAGAATCCAAAAGGTGAGATAATCAAGTATAAGGCCCGGTTGGTAGCCAAAGGGTATGCTCAGAAATATGGAGTAGATTATACAGATGGGGAAGTCTTTGCCCCAGTTGCTAGAATGGAAACTGTGAGAGTTTTACTAGCATATGCAGCACATATGGAAAGGGAGGTTCACTATCTAGATGTGAAAACAACATTTCTAAATGGTGAATTAAAAGAAGAAGTATATGTAATGCAACCTGAGGGTTTTGGAGATGCAGAGAATCCACACAAAGTGCTGAAACTTCATAAGGCCTTATATGGTTTAAGGCAAGCTCCTAGGGCATGGAATGAAAAGCTTGATACATGTCTGAGGTCTTTAAGGTTCACAACGTGTATCTATGAGCATGGTTTTTTTTTTTTTGGAAAAAGAGATTTTTATTGAAAAAAGTAAACAGTACAAAGTAAGAAAATACAGAGAAAGAAAAGAAAATAAAAGAAAGAAAATAAAACGATACAGAGAAAGAAAAGACTAAAACTACACCCACGGAAATTCTCTTTACTGAGACCTAGTAGTCATGCTGTGCCGCCTTTTATTCTTTTGAGATTTCCAGTAGCTTTTGAGTTGCGTGTTTAAATTTTCCGTTGGCAGACAATTTTTTGAAGTAACAAACTTTGATTTCCTGCAGATCGCTCTGTTGAATTTTGATTTTGTGATTTCTCCTGGAGTTGAGATAGGGGGACGACGATCGCTTTCAATGGCATGTCCCAGAAAGTTGTCCATGAAAGAAGAATCATCTGATTGATAAAAGTTTTCTGATGCATCTGAGTAAGCCTGAACAAGCATGTGTCGTTCTACTGCAGTTGGACACCTTTGATTCTCTGAGTAGGCTCCCTGAATTTGGTAATAAAAAATAAGTTTAGATATTGATTTTGTCTCCTCTTAACTAACATGTTTTCTTGTAGCCAATCCATTGTTGTCTCCTATAGTAAATTAGCCAGTCCAACAAAATTTGAGAATATTGCCATGAAAATTTTTAAATTGCTGTTTTTGGGCCCATGCGGATTAGTATGAAGCTCCCCTTTTCCTTAGCAATCTTCAGATACCGGCCTGAGTCGTTGAAATTTGAAGAGACCGTGATAGAACCAAATCTTCTGCTTTCCCTTAAATTATCTGATCGGGTGAGGTGGTTTATAAATCTGTAGATGTCGGGCGCTT